CGATTACAGTGTGGCTCCAGCCCGGTAAATGGCACTCCCATGTGACGCGTGCGGTGCGAGCCAGTGTGTGTGCGTGTGTGAGATGGAGAGATAGAGATAAAGAGTAACAGAGAAAGCGAGAGAGAGAGAGAGAGAGAAGAGAGGTAGCTTTAGGGCTTATCACAGAAACCTGCACGGCCGGAGAAGAACGACAAGAGCACTACAATAATAACGGACAGACAACAACAAGAAGCAAAACAAAAAGGGAAGACAGGGAGAAAGCGAGACAAATGATACAATGTGAGAGCGGGTTGAAGGTGGAACCGCACGAACAAGAGATTAATGCTTTTCCTGTTCCAAGTCCGTCTCCTTATCCCTATCTCCCTCCGCCCCCCCCCCACTCCCTCTTTTGACAAGCGATGCCAGGGATCCTCCATGACGAGGTGAAATCAGGTGAGAGGCCCCCTCCCCCCAGTGCGTTTTTCCCCGCCCACTTAACTCGGCGCGCCGGGTCGCTACCATCCACTCCACCGACGGACCATCAAACGGATGAGTTGAGAGGATAGTGAGGTATGAGGAAACAGGGGGAGCGGCGGCATGGGCCAGAGCAGGACAGAGCACCGGTGGGCTGGAAAACGAACACACTGAAAACTCTAGCTACCTTATGCGCCAAAACTACGCTAAATAGCACATCAAAAAGTAAACTTCTGACGATGCCGAGCTCGGCTTTGGGGTTATAACCCCATCTCGAAGTCAAGTAAGTCTGCAAAATTTAAGAAGCGGTCAAAAGATTCAAATAATGTCATTCATTGAAACTTTGTGTCAAATTTCAGGATGCAATGTTGGTTCTTTGCACACCTTTCTTTAGGCAACTCAAGCAACTCTGCAAAACGTGTAATGCAATGACTGTCTTGTTGACTAAGAACAATGTCGTAGGTGAAAAAAAAACGTTTGTTTCTAATTCAAACCATGATTGCGTTGTCATTTGACTACCTCCGTTATTAATAGAGCGACAACCGTGTTAAGCGATGGTCGTTGTTGTTCTACTGACCTCGCTGTTCTTTTAAAAATATAGTTTACGCATTAGAATCACAGCTAGTAATTTTCCAGGAACTTCCCGGTTGAATCCGGAGAGCAATTTCCCGGATGCTATTTTTCGTCATATCTATGCATGTTATAATATTTGCAGCAACCAGGAAACGTACTTCCCGGATCCGACCGGAACTTCCCGGGAAAATATTTGCTGTGAAGAAAATAAAATGTTGTTCAACTTTGACAGAGTAGGAAGCTCCAATGTACCTGCTAATTTCCGACAAATATTTAGAAAGATACGTTGGAAAGTTGGAACTTGCCGGTGTCAACGAGACATAGTACTCCCGGGCCCAGGGACCCCCCTGAGTACACCATCCCTAGGACAGTTGTACTCCCCCACCTCAAGGGGTGGCGGAGTACATTGACCCTAGGGATGGTGTACTCCAGGGGGAGTACACCATCCCTAGGGCACGTTACTGGACTGGATGTGAGCCCTTGCTAGACCCACTCATCCGGTACCCAAATCCATCCAGCGAGGCACGAATACTGACGGTGTGTGTTCTGATCTTGCTCGGCCTTACACGCGAATGATTTGCTACAGATTCCATGCGGAGTTGTAGTTTGTACCGCCGCATCGGTGGTACCGAACTCCAGTCTGAGAACTCAGTTGCCTTTCCGCCCGTCCCCTGATCTGGTGCAGTCAGCTGTGAACACGCCACGTCCTCGTACAACTCTGTGCGCCGCCCAACCCCCGCCCTCGTCACGCACTTTGACTCTTGCATGACCAGGTGACCTTATTCCTCCCTCTGCATTGCGTACACAGGGGCCGCACCGCACCAGAGGTCACAAGAAAGAAATCAGTACGGGGCTCGGCTAGCCGAAAGGAGCTCAGCAATGCGACGCCGCTCAGCAATCCTGATGAATCAGTTTCCGCACAGTCTGAGAACTCGACGGTGAGGATTGTACAGTGGTACACTATTATATCAGTGCACTGATTCATCAGTGTGTACTCCAAGCTAATGTTTGGGTTATGTTCAGCAGGTACGCTGTCGTTATTCAGTTCATGTAACGTCACATCCCCTTATCTGTGAAAACTTTCACATTCTCGCCCCCCAATGTCACATAATTTTCCGAGTGACTTTAGCTTAGTCACGTTAAATAGAATGTTACGTCAAGATTTAACGAAAGTGACAGTGTTTGCAAGTAAACCAATGTAACACCACATAAATTAAAATAACAGGGTAAAAACGTAAACGTGAGCATGGAGGCATACACACTGTTAAATCAATATACCGAGCTATGATGCCCACTGTCACAATCAGAAAGTGTGCGTTTCGTCAACACAGACTGGTCAGTTTGCATTAAAGCAGATTGAAAATCTAGGATTAAAAAAGCCAATTTGTATACTTCGTATACTTCAAAATGTGCTCAGACAATCTGCTGATTTAACTTTTTGACCATCAGCAAAACCCGTCGTCTCGCGAAGAGACAAAATCTAGGTTAACAGGAGCAGGGCAAAACCTAATCAGCGACCAAACGATCGTTCATATTGTCAGTCTCTGTTTCGATCCGACGGAAGAGAACGGGGAAAGCATTACCAATCGGAACAAAGAACTGCGCGGGGTGTATGAGGCGGTTACAACACGTCTGCGACAGCAAGTTATTCAGCAATAAATCTCTATATCAAAAGGAAAAATAAAAAGAACTAGAAGGCGCCGCTCTAGAGAGATTAATAAACGTCGACTGCTGTTGAATAATTCCAGCGAGGAGCGGCGGGCTCTCGAGCCATTCACAAAATACATTAAACATCCGTTTGATCCTGATATTTCACCCACGCCTCGTCTGCCACGGCGGCGCCAACACTTCGTTACGACACGAGGTGAGAAGAAATCACCTCCGTGATGCTGCGGCAAAACCTTTTTAGCCATGATAAGCGCAGGCACTAAGGAAGATATGCACTGAAGTGAAGAGGGAGATTGATTGTCTTAGGCGCATGTATTATAAAATCATCAAGGTACGTCAGAAATATAATAATAACTTTTAAATAAATTTCGGAAATTCCTACCGCCAAATTAATCTATATAAGAAAACTAGCCTCTACAATAAAGCTTGCGTGGTTTCGCCGTGTAGAATTAATGTGAAGATAATGAATGCTTCGTAATTTAAAAACAATTGCCTTTGTAAATTGTAAAACAGTTACTTCAAAGCCAAACCCTTGGCAATTTGAGAAGGATCCTTGCAAGGTCTTGTAATTGCAAACTCAATTCCTTCGCAACTTGTAAATTAGTGACTTTGTGTAGGCTTCTAGGAGTGCGATTACAATTTGTGATTTCTGCAACAAATCAAAGCACCCCACCCCTTTTTTTGCCTTCACCATAAACACAGGCGTGTTACGACTGTTATTTGATTTGCAGTCCGACACGTACCTCAGGAGGCCGGGCCAGCACGGCGCCACGCCACGCCAAAACCACATTGATTTCCTGTCAGCAAACTGGCCACGCAGCTCAGCCCGCCAAGGACGGTGCAAACGTGTGGCCTAAACTGCCGAAACGTGTCACCACCCCAAGCCAGAGTGCGCCCTGCCCGGCCCCGCCAGCCCAGACAGACGTCGGCCCCATACATTCGACCGGAATGCGTTCCCTCTCCGAGGCGGCCCTGCGTAGCTAGCCACTCGGGGCGGAGGAGCGCACCGCGGGCACACCAGGACAGAATCTTACACGCAGTGTCAAGGTCAGCCGCGGTTCTGCCCCCGCACCGCCCACGCCCCGGGGCGTCACAAGCAGAGTATATAGAGTGTCACCTTGGCCGGCCCCCGCCCCCGTTTTCACTGTGACTCCGCGCCAGAGACGCGTGCCCCCTGCTCGCTCCTTAATTAGCTGGACCCCTGTGTAAACAAGGGGTCGACAAGGTAAAGAAGAAACTTTGACCTGCTGCGTTTTAACAGTCCCTCAAGCACACTAATTCATTTTTTCGCATATTAAAAGAGATGTCGCATAAAGAATTGTATTTAGCCCGTCCCCCAGCTTAAAAGCGCTACCCAGTGGGTTGATGAAAATTGTAAACGAACTGAGGCTGTTCCACTCGAAGAAGAAAAGCTAGACACTTAAAACGTTTTTGGGTATCATAGCGGGGCACTCCTGGGTCACTCTACCAAAAGAACTACGCGTGTGACTCCTGCATATTCAGTGTAAAGATACAGTGTATACACTGTTTAAAAAAATCACAACTTCACGAAGAATTCGCAGTGAAAAAAGTTGCCAGAACTCTTTGTGAAATCACAACTCTTCTTCGTTGTCAAAAATTGATAACTTCAGAAGTTACGATTGGTTCACAAACTATTTCCTAGTAAGATAGGAAAATGCACCATTTTTGACTACAAAGAAGTGTTGTGATTTCACAGTTGCTTCGTATCGTATTGGAAAATCACAAAATATTTGTAGTGTAGTATGAGTTCAAGTGCAAAACAAATGAGACAGTAACTAAATACCTCGACACGAACAAATTCTGGCCTGCGCACCAACCCACCAAGATTTTTCAAAGACTATCGCGCAAACGTTTTGCGTATTACAACACTGATAAGACAAGTGTGCATAATTTAAACACCAACGTGTTTAAGTTGTGATTTTAAACATAACATGGTGTTTGGCTCAAGTTGTACTCTTGCGTGGTGTGCACATTTTAAACGTTTTGTAAACGTTACGATTCTGTACACTGATATTCACAAATGGATAGAAACCATATGGCGTGCAGCTGCTATACTTTTCGGAAGTGTTTAAAGTTAAAACACCAACTGACGTGTACCCTAGTTAAACACCACACTGTGTTGAGAAAATGCACACTTGGCGTTTAACATTAAACACTTGTTTTACCAGTGAAGATGTTCAGGCATGTGTGAAATATTGAATCAATACTGGTGGCACTTGGTTAGGAGGCTTTTAATTTCAATTAAACAAATAACTGCAAAGTCGATTTTCTGTCATTGTTCACAGCCTGACGCGGCGCGGGCGCGGCCGGCTGCAGCAGCCCCGGATGTCCCTCCTGGGTAAGCCGCTCAACTACCGCGCGAGCACCCGGCGGGACGCCCGGTACCGCCGCCTACAGAGCCGCGTCTACAACTTCCTCGAGCGACCGCGCGGGCTGCCCTCCATTTTCTACCACATCGTCGTGTGAGTACCGCACTAGGCCTACTTTGAGGTGAAGATTGCCGTTGCCCACACATGTAAAGGGACTATGTTCGTCCCCAAGAAGACTCTTTTTTGCCGGATTTGGTTTAGCAACTTGCAAGGGACTAATTTGCATTAAAAAAAATAAAAAATATATATTTTAGAAGCAAGCAAATATGCAATTTACAGAATGCAGATTAGTATTTTCTTTAGCTTTAGAACGTCCCTCAAGAACCCAACAAGAGAAATCAGTTATCTGTACCTGATTTCATTTCAACGATTCATGTTAAGGCCAACCCAGTCAATGAAGCCACTTAAAATTTCAACTAGTTCAATCCATTTTCTGTAAGTCGATGTTTCCTGTTTTCACAAGGAACCAAGTCCAAGAAGCGGTTGGCTAAAGGGGAAAAGATGGGATTCGAGGTGGAAGGGGAGGCGACGGGGGAAAGGGTAGGAGAGACAGAGAAGAGTTAGGTCAATGATACCCTTAATAAGTTTGTCTTTTTGCGGTAGAAGAGAATTTCACGGTTCGCCACGCCCCACAATCAGAGCTGTTCGGCGTGGTGCGCGGCCCTTCCCTCGGCATTATCTCGACCACGCCACCAGCCCCAACGGCTGACTCTTCTAAGTAATTGTTTTGTTCGTCTGTCCGCCGGGCGATGCGTCTGGGGTTGTCTGGGTCGGCTTACAGGGCTTCTCGTTGCGCGCAGGAGACACCAGCTGGGGGATGTTTAGCATTGATGAAGGACAAAGACGACAGAAAGAGAGGAGAGACACTCGAAATGTAACGGGACAATACTACCAATTATGTTCCCAATAAAAAACCGTATTTGTGCACATCCAGATTGAATGCATTAAACTTTGCACGCAACTTTGTTTCTAAAGGTGGACAAACTGTGTAAATCTTCACACAATTTGTCCAGTTTTAGGGAAAAAATTGCATTCAATCTGGATGTGGACGAAAACGTTCCCTTATTAGGGTCAAAAACGTCCCTTTTCATTTAGAGTGGACAGGAACAAGGAATCGAAAAGAGATGGGGCTGCGGACATTCAGAGTGTGAAGGACTTAAGTGACACACAAAAAAATGCCAAATAAGTGCAGCGATATTTAAATAATGAACTATAAATATGGAATGTATTATTTTTCGTGCATTCTATTACAGAACGTTTTTAACTTGTACCAGTGCACCAGCAGTTTTATCTCTCTCGGCACGACTCTGCCCTCCCTCGTTCGGTTGGGTCCTTCGCACTCGAGGTGCCATCTAAAAGGGTCTGAGCGCTCCGCGCTGACTTAACTCTGCTGTTAGCATCACACGGGAAGGACAGGCTCTGGAGACTTTAATTAACAGCGCCTTATTTTGACGGGAGGTAATGCGGCACTATGACGGGAAAAATGGAGATGTGAGGGGGAGGGAATGGCGGCAGCAAAGTAGAGAAAGCGACAGCAAAAGAGATGCACACAGACAGCGAGAGAACAAAGGGCGACTCCCAACGCACTGAACAATGCGGAATTTTTATGTTGGAAACGGGAGGAAAATGACAAAACATCAGAAGCCTTCGACTGTTTTTATCCGATCGTGTGCAAAAACAATTGAAAAGAAGAAATTTCAGACATTTTCCATTGTTTTTAGAGGCAATTTCTGACAGTTACAGTAACAGTAATACCCACGTCAGCAAATTTTATAAGACATCCTAATATATTTTTCATCGCGGTGTTTTACCACCTAGGTAGGAAAGCTTTCACTCAAGACTCACTGCGGCGTTCCCGCGGTCTCTTGAGGTCAGAGGAGATAAAGAAAGAGAGAGAGAAAAGGGAACAAGAAGAAGAAAAGATTAAGAGGTGAAGGAGGGGTGAAGGAATTGGGAGAAGATGTTGAAGATGGAAGAGTAAAGAACAAAAGGGAGGAGGGTTAATTAATTACACCGTAAGTGAAAGAGGAATGGTAATCATCAAGCTTTTTGTCGCGTGTACCCAGCTTTAAATTCCATATGGATTTCTAGTAT